TTTTCTCTGTTCCCTTTTCATCTGATATATTAGACTATGCAAGCACACGGCCTGGGTAATTTGCTCTCGTCTTTAGCCTGGAGGATTGCGACTTCCCAAGGTTTTAAACTGGGAACTATTGCCTTGGGCCATTCTGCGCGAGCATACAGGTTATTACCAGGTATCCTGTCCTGAATGTACTCTTTGCGAGCCTTTTTTACGTGAAGTCCCCTGTTGCTCTCTTCAGAGCCGTTAAAGTAGAAGTTTCCACAGCCTTAAACTTTATGGGTTCCATTTGGACTATGGGTTCTATTTGGAAAAACTCTGCATATACTACCGCCACCTTAACGAGTATAGGGCCTTTACGAAGAAAAGCTTCTTTCTTGACTTATTCTTGACATTGGCGGGTGAAGTACTGTTACCTGACTATGGCGTCTTTTGCCCTTTGCTTCGCCTTATCGATATTAGTGCGGTTTGAGCCCCAATGATATTAGCCTTGATCACCGAACATTTGTCATAAAAAAATCTTTACCTTTTTCCACCAATTTTTATACTTTTAACTTGCAAGTTTGGCCCTTTTGACCTCTTCGTTCGACATAATCTCTATCTTCTCAAGGTAATTCTAAAAGCTCCCTAAGTTTACCCTGTTAATAAGGTCATATCTTCCTTTTCTTTGTTACTTCGTGTTCTATACTGTTCCCACGAGAAATTGTTAAAATAAAAAAAAGTTTTTTTTTAGGTTTTTTGGGTCATTTTAAACAAAAAAGGTCTCTTGTTATTTTTCTCTAAAGTTGATAGTTTTCGAGTTATAAGCAATTTAAAGTCTGAAAAACGCGAAAATACGCATTTTTGAGGCTTGAAAACACATATGTAAATTATTATTTTTGAGGTTACCAAGTATCTAAATTGAAGTTTAAACATTCAACTTCAAGATTGTGAAGAGTAATCGGGGCTTATTTTAATTTAGACCGTTGTTTTTTAATTGTTAAATATGCGCGTACACTCGATTTTTCAGCCGCCGCGGCGCGGCGCGCTAGAGTGCGCTACTATCGTACTTATGCATAGTTTACATATACACTTACGCAAAAAAAAACCCTAACAAATCCTTGAAGTTTAACATAGTTTTTTCCATAATTTATTTATGTAGGTATTAATGATTGTCATTGGGCTAATTAAATAAATCAATCATCGCAATGTAATAACCGTATATAGTTTTTTTTTCTTCCAAATTTGAACAATATAATTATTATTTATTGAGTATATATTTATTTATATCAATTGTAAATACTATTTTTAAATTATTATTATTTAAATAATCCAATGCAGTAAATATTAATATTAGTAAACTTAATTTATTAAGTTTACGATTAAGGATGAAGGAGACTTTCGTAAGGTTTGAGAAGGAAGCAGAGAAGATGGAGCTCCAAATCAACGAAAACAAGACGAAATATATGTATATGAGCCGCAATAACCAAAGCAGAGACAGAATCGGTCAGAACATTACCAACGATGACTTTAACTTTGAGCGCGTTAGAGAACTCAAGTATCTTGGAACAACAATAACTGAAGACAATAACGGATCACAAGAAATAAACAACAGGATTCAGGCCGGCAACAGATGTATTTTTGCCCTCCAAAACCTTATAAAATCAAAACAACTAACACGACGTACGAAGATACAGGTCTATAAAACAATCATACGACCCATTGTGATGTATGGAAGCGAAACGTGGACGATAACAAAGGCAAATGAAGAGAGACTACGTGTTTGGGAAAGAAAAATCCTAAGGAAGATCTTTGGTCCGGTGCTTGATGAAGCATCAGGACAATATAGGATAAGAACTAATAAAGAGCTTGAAGAACTTTATCCAGACGCCAACATCATAAAAGAAATAAAGTCCAGAAGACTCCAATGGGCAGGACACCTCAGAAGACATTCTGACGAACGAACAGTAAGACTGGTGTGGGAGGAAGTCCCAACTGGAAGGAGACCACGCGGACGCCTTCGTCTTCGGTGGCGAGATAATATAGCAGGAGACCTAAGCACTATGGGCGTGGAGAATTGGATGGAGGTTGCTCAAGACAGAAAACAGTGGAGGTATGTTGTCGAGTCGGCTAAAACCCACGAAGGGTTGTAACGCCACGGAGTAAGTAAGTAAGTAAGTAAACTTAGTTTTAAATTGCGCGGTGTTTAAAAACAATATACTATCGCAAAAATGCAAGTTTTTACCTGTTTAATAATCACACGCTCATACTTGATTTGTTATTACTTAAACGATCATTAGGAAGACTATTGTTTAATGCCCATTAAAAGAGTATTATATTATTAATGTGTTATTAAAAAAATTGTGAATGGATTTAAAATGTCTTTTTCCGTACCTCTTCTTAAATGAAAACTTACCGAAGAAAATTTAGTTTGTATTTTTTGTAATAACATCAACAATATTAAGTTAGTGCAAAAACCTAAAGTAGATTTTTACATAACAATACAAAATGCTGCTCTTCGACGAAAAGACAGTGTGGCTGAAAAATTTAATTTAATCTAGCCAATATACCTTGTACGTCTGACGCACTTTACCAACACTTGTTAAGAGCTTTCGCTAAAACATATATTTGGCGAAATGTCATATATTCCCGCTATCAAACTCTCGATTTTACACAATATGGATATTATATGTCTGATAGTGGTGGGTTGGGAAACCGTGCAAATGCAAAAAGACTTGCAAAACTAATGCTTGCAACTGCAAGAAAAATCATGTCAACTGTGTACCATTATGTGGATGTGATTTAGATTTTTGTGAAAACAAAGATACTTTTACTGAGTGATATTAGTGTGTTATTTAACAATCTTTTGTACAATTATTTTATGTAACTATTATTAGACTTTACACGAAATTTATATTATAACTCAATTGATATAAATAAATATATACTCAATAAATAATAATTATTTGTATGTATATGTAAACTATGCATAAGTACGATAGAGGCGCACGGTAGCGCGCGGCGCCGCGGCGGCTCAAAAATCGAGTGTACGCGCATACTTAACAATTCAAAAACAACGGTCTAAATTAAAATAAGCCCCGATTACTCTTCACAATTTTGAAGTTGAATGTTTAAACTTTAATTTAGACACTTGGTAACCTCAAAAATAATAATTTACATATGTGTTTTCAAGCCTCAAAGATGCGTATTTTCGAGTTTTTTCAGACTTTAAATCGCTTATAGCTCGAAAACTATCAACTTTAGAGAAAAATGAAAAATGAAGAGACTTCTTTTTTGTTTAAAATGGCCCAAAAAACCTAAAAAAAACGTTTTCCAGATTAAAAAAAAAATTATTTTTGGACTTTGTTTAAAAAAATTGTTTAAACAATTTCTGCCCAAAATTTCGCCCGAGCCCCTTCAGATTTGTTTAAAGGGGACATTTTTGAACCGGAATCCGCGAAGAAACCGAATCAGAAACATTTTCCCAACGGGAGCGGCCTCACAGCCTGGACTAAATTAAAATCGGATGGCGACTGGTTTTCAGAGGGAACCGTGTGACTGTGTTTATGTCAAGTGGCCATTCATCTTCAGCACGTTGTCTCACACTTTGAATTGGGGTTTTTTTGCTGGTTTCGTCGGTTTTTGAGTGAATGGAGGTTGTTTCCTGGTGATATAGATTTAGTGGGAGGAAGAATTAAGGACGAGGGGTAGCGAGAAAGGTGCAGCAACTAGGAATTATTGTTACACCTTTCATCGTCTGGCAGCGGAGTCCGGCGACCACCTGGTGCACCGATACCGGTCGCTAGTTGGACTGTTCTGGATTTCGCAGTCCAAGAAGAGAATTACTACTCAAACACAACGAAAACATTAAAAAGGAAATTATCAAATTATGATATCACACAGCCCAAAACATCTGCTCCAATGAAAACATATTTTAGGAAAAAAAAACCTGCTTACAAAGGTTTTACCAAAAATCGCAATAAGTAATTTAGAAATGCTTATAACTGGGGATTTAAAGATATTATAACTAGATAGAAAGAAATTGTATAGAAAATAGCAAAATAACCAATACACTGAGGTCTATTCTGTCCAAAACCAAACCTAACAACACACAAGAGAAATAAAAGAACTGCATCTATAAAAAAATCCTGTAAATACATCGATGTCTATGGGGTTCAAAATCAAAGAAGCACCTCTCATCCCACTTAATGAAGAAAAATGTATAGCAAACCCATTAGTAGAATGTAACCAGGCTCTGGTTGCCAATACTAAAAGAAGAAGTCAGCAACAAAAATATACCAACATAAGCGGATTAATAGAAATTGGGATACACTTTATTTATAATTATACATAATACGCAAAATATCCAAACAAATAATACACAAAGACACGAAATAATTGAAATTTGATATCTTGAGGGCAAAAACACTAGCCTTTCAACTAGAGTATAATTTTCAACTAAAAAAGTGGATATTTTCTACAAGATTCAGGATAAACTAAGTCACTCGTCAATTTGAAAAAACGTAAGCGCTAGACAACTTTTTGTTATAACAACACCTCATTATTTTTTAAAATAATCTTTTTTGAAAACGATACCAAAGTGGAAATCAAAACGTCAAACAACAATAATCTAATAACTTTCAAAGAATTTTCTTATGTTTTTATACTTAAATTCATCATGCTCGCATATACAGGATATATTTTATATCAATAAAAAACTAGTTAAAAAAGTAATTATTTATATTTCGATATATATCCATAAAGTAATTTTTTATGTACCATCCATCATAGCATAGCAAGAAAAAGACATATAAGAGGGCAAATCAATATTTTCTTTTGGTTATAATCGTTCTAATTCGGCCGTTCTTTTGAACGGCCAAAGCCAAGAAGTTATCTTAACTTATGACGGCCAGTCAACCCATGTCTTGTCGCAACCTGTCCGTCTGTCTTGTCAGAAACCACCCCTAACATTACCTTATTTCTCTCTTATTGTTTCCAGCACAAAGAGCAGCGTGAGAAGGAGCACCATCCCAGGAATGGACCAAGACGACGGCGATTATGCTACCCTAAGGGAATTGCCTCTTCCGCCTCCCAACTCCTCTCAGAGAATTTCTAACGGGGAAGACACGGCCAGTGAAGAGGGAAAGGTAAGTTTCCAATTTTGTTTGTATCGAAATGTGACGCAGGATATTAGGAGGAAATTGGCATAGGCGTATCAATTAAAAAGAAAAAGACTTATATATTTGATAAAACAATAAAATGGAGATATGTGCAAAAGTTGAAACGACTTAAACTAACTTATAAAATAACCATTTTAAAGTTTGTACTGAATATTTTTAAATGACTATTATTTTTCCTAACGTAGATTTCTTGGAAAATATGGTATGAAAAAGAAACTATTCAAGAATATAAGAAAAAGTTCAATGCGATAGTAGTGTTGCGATTAATACCGTTTTTAATAAAAAAATATATATAACAAATTCAAATAACACCATTAAAAATATAAAATTGAAAGAACTCTTGATTAAAGATTAGCTTACCTTGAAGGTAAAAAAAAATATTCAAGAGTATGAAAGAACTGTAAACATGCGTGTGTGGCTTAGCGGATTTCATCCATATAGTGCTGCTAATAAGATAAAAACGAGTAAAATTCAATAGAAAAATAGACGCGTTTGGAAAATTGGTTAAATGAGATTTGGATGAAAAAAAAACTGACGATAACAGGAAAGTTTTAATGGATAAATACAACCATCATCATCTAGCCTGTCAAAAAAGTCCAAAGATAAACCCTTAAGTTCTTCCAGTTTTGTCGGTCTTGAGTTTCCTTCGGAAAATTCCCAGCGACTATTTTGACTCGTCTACCCATGGTGTATGTGATCTACCTCTGCTTCTTCTGTCAGCTTGTGGTCTCAATACTATAATTTTTTTAATCCACCGCCCGTCATTCCTTCTGCCTACATAGCCCGTTCCCTTCCACTTCAGTCATGCTATGCACTCTATGACACGGTGACGCCTGTCCTTCTTCTATTTTTTCTGTTTCTAACCCTATGTCTGAGAGTCACTACAAGTAGAGAGCATTCCATTCTTCTTTGGGCTACTTAGAGTTTGGTTGCAGTAGCCTGAGTTAGAAAAGTGTTTCGTCTCCGCCACATTGGTCAAGCACAAGCACACATCCACCAGTGTGGATAAATACAATATTAAAGCAAAAAAGGGAATATTTAAGTTAAAAAAAAAACTACAAAAAAGAGGAACAACCAAATATATATTGTGACGAAATCTATACTCAGTTTTTTCATAATACACTCTTAGATCCCATTCCAAATTTTTCGGAGCACAAAGATGAAATGCTTCTTCTTTTTAGGGTGCCTGTCCGTTCCGAACGTTGGCGATCATTCTGGTTATGATACCTTGTTGGTTTGATATACGAAATAGCTGTGTAGATGTCTTTCTATATCATGCTCTCAGGTTAGCAAGCCAGGATATTCTTCTTCGTCCTGGGGCCCTTTTTCCTTCAATTTTACCTAGTAAAATGCATTGAAGTAGCTCGTATCTGCCATGATTTCTCATTATATGTCCCAAGTACTGCAGCTTACGGCCCTTCACGATGTTGACTAAATCCGCAGTTATGTTCATCCTCTGCAGTACTTCTTAATTGGTGACTATATCTGTCCATGGTATCTTCAAGATCCTTCTGTATGAGCATAGCTCAAAAGCCTGAAGTTTTGATAGAGTTTCCGCCTTCAATGTCCACGTTTCTATTTCGTACAGAAGCAGGGAATGCTGAGGGAGCTAAATGAAAGAAATATTTTTTATATTGTAGCTTAACTACATAACACGTATCCAGTTTGTGAACTTAATAATAGACCAAATTTTAGCAGAACGTTACGTCTACCTTGCTATCACTCGGCGATAAATCCAATATAAAAAATATGGTAAAATACGTAATGGCTGCCTGAAACGTAAGTTTTGAATTAGAGGTGTAGATATTAACAGGAAAAAAATTTGAAGTTACTACTTGAAACAACAATTGAAACAACGTTTGTGCTAATCTCACAAAAGTTGAAAATTATTGTATGAAAAGCGAACATGTTATAAATGATGTCGTGGACTTGGACTTTTCGGATGATGAAGAAGATCTTGCATTTTGATGTACGTTTGACTAACAATAAATTGATAATAATAGATATATACATATTTATATATTTAATATTAAAATTATAATAAGTACGAACGTGATTAGGGAAAGAGCTTGGGCGATAACAGTCTCAAAAATGGTTAAAAACGTAGAAATGAGAACTATGTGGGATGAAGCAAAGAGCTGTTGGAACTTGGAAAGGGAGGTAGAAGGAAACCGAGGACAAGATGGAAGAACCGTGCGACAGATGATTTGAGAGACAGAGAGAGAGAGAGAGAGAGAGAGATTAAGAGTTTAAATCAAGAAAACACGATGGACAGAAATAAGTAGCGAAGAAGAGTAAGACATATAGATCGCTGAAAAGGAAAAAGCTAGAACAGAATGTAAATATGCCTTTGTATGTAATATTGTATTTTTAAACTATTTGTTTAATTAGGCTTATAAATGGTATTTAACCGCTTGCAATTAATTGTCTTATCTATAAGTTCTCTCGAGTTAATTAAGTGATTAAGTGATTAAAATATCGTTTAACGCATTAGGTGGTAAAAGTAATTAGATATTAATAGTCATACTTAATATTTAATTTGAAAATATTGGAAAGTATTAACCAGTAGTTTAACTCACTCTGTTTAATTTAGTTATTTATCTATTATCAAATAATAGTAATATCACCTTAATAAAACAGGCTCCAAACAGTCGATATGCAGATTACAGTTTCTTCTTCTTTTTCTTCTTTTTATATAGACATAAATCTGTCTGTTTTTCAATGTGCCTCCAGTAAGTTCGCGTTCCATCGTTTTCGTGGTCTTCCTTTTGGGCAACCATCTCTTGCCGTCTTTACTATTCTATTTGTTGTCATTCGGCTTATATGATCGTTCCATTCTACTCTTCTATTTCTTACCCAATTCTTGATGTTCTCCACTTTGCATCTACATCGTATATCTGTACTTCTAGCTCTGTCCCATAGTCTCTTTCCATCAATTTTTCTAAATGTTTTCATCTTTGTTATTTTTGACATCCTTTTTGTCCTCTCTGTGTCAGGTCTTGTTTCTGCCGTGTATATTAATATTGGTCTGATGACTGTTTTGTAAATTCTGCATTTAGTTACTTTCCCGATAGTTCTCTTTCTCTATATTGTTTCATTTAGGCAGCCTGCGGCTCTGTTTGCTCTATTTACTTGATCTTCTACTTCGGTTTCGAGCTTTATGTAACTAGATAATATGATGCCTAGATCTTTAAACTTTATCACTTGTTCTATTTTCTGACCTTCCAGCTTCAATTTACATCTTAGTAAATTTGCTGAAGAAATGTGGAAAGGATTTAGAAATGCCATAGAAACGTCTATAGAAAGAACCAGAACTGAAAAAAAAACAACAAAAGAAAACACTGAATGACAAACAGAACGTTGCAACTTCTCGAAGGGCGAAGGAGAATTGAATCTATCATATATCAAAACGACAGCAACAAAAACGAATTAGCAAGGTTGAATAAAGCAACTAAAAGAGCATGTAGGGATAAAAATAAACATATAAATGAAGAATGCGAAGAACTAGAGAGACATGCAGACCGGTATGAATCCCATGAGCTATATAACAAAGTCCGATATCTATCCAGGGAATTTAAACCATTTACACAAACAATAATGGATCAAAACCAACATATTATAAATGACGACAAAGGGATTGCGGAGGTATGGAGAAAATATTATCAAAGTCTATATGCAGATGATCCCCAGAATGCAAATCACGATGAGTTCACTGAAGAGAGAGTTCCAAACATTCTAAAGTCAGAGGTAGAAAAAGCAATCAATAAGTTGAAAAATAGAAAATCTCCTGGCGCAGACAAGATCACCGCAGAAGTTTTAAAAGAGACTGGAGATGGAGTAAATGTTATGCATATGATCTGCAAAAAGATTTGGGCAACCGGAGAGTGGACCAACGACTGGACAACATCTACTTTCATCCCTATATTTAAAAAAGGAACTCCGCTAGATTGCAGCAACTACAGAACGGTAACCCTAATATCCCATTCAGGCAAGGTTCTACTTCATGTAATACATGAAAGATTAAAAGCTTTTCTAATGCCTCAGATATCAGAAGAACAAGCGGGATTTGTCCCAGGAAAGGGCACAAGAAAACACATCCTTAATGTCAGACAGCTAATTGAAAAAACTCGTAAATTCAATACTCCTGCGCTTATGTGCTTGGTGGATTACACAAAGGCCTTCGATAAAGTCAAATGGCAGCAGCTCTGGTCCATACTAGCGGATATCGGAACACCCCACCACTTAACTCAACTAATTAGAAGTCTATATGAAAATAATAAGTGCACAGTGAAAATAAACAACAGCCATTCCGATCATTTCAGAACAGAGGCAGGTGTCAGGCAGGGATGCATAATCTCGCCAACTCTGTTTAATATCTACAGCAAACACAGTATGCGAAAGGTACTAGACGGATGGAAGGGCGGAATATCAGTAGAAGGTCAAAAAATCAATAACTTGAGATATGCTGATGACACTTTAATAATCGCGGCAAATCAGGAAGAAACGGAAGACATAATAAGATGTTTGAAGGAAAAAAGCAAAACATATGGACTAAAGCCAAATAGGAGTAAGACAAAGATCATGATAGTAGACAGAGCTCAGAATAATCTTCAACACATTAAAGAAATTGGGAGCTTTGAAGTAGTAAATACTTTCATATACCTGGGGTCCCTAATAACAAATGACGGAGGTGTGACAGAGAAATACGTAGAAGGTTGACTATTGCTAGAACAACCATGATGAAACTGATAGCAATTTGGAAAAATTCTAGCATAACAAAACACACAAAACTAAGGCTGGTAAGCGCGCTCATTTTTCCCATAGCCACATATGCATCCGAAACGTGGACCTTAAAGAAAGCGGATAAAAATAAACTGGACGCTTTGGAAATGTGTGTATACCGCCGCATGTTGAGAATATCCTGGATTGATCATCGCAATAATGTATCGATATTAGAACAACTTAAA